ACTCTCTAAACTTCTTCAAATCTGTTACCAACCATATTTATAGCCCCTTGCTCAAAAATAGCCGTTTCTAGCCGTTGGGGGTCATTAAATGCTCTGCAGGATGCAAAGCTCGAGTTGCAGGATTGTCAGGACAACTGGCTCTGCACAGCCGACTCACCATTTCTATAGTCGGCTTTGCGGGATTCTACACACTTTATTTTCTCTGTAGAGCCGGCTGCAAAACACAAAGTCGGCTTTGCGAGTTTGCTAAACATTTTGTTTTCTTAGACAGCCGGCTACAAAAACGTAAAGCTGGCTTTGATATTTTGACTTTAAAAATATTAATTATTCTTCAAATAAGTCGACCGTTGTGCATTAAATGTGCCTTTACAGCCGGCTGCAAAGTTAGAGCCAACTCTGCGTCTTTTCTCTACATGCGCCAAACAACGAACCTTTAAATCTTTACCCGTAGAGTCGGCTGCAGCTTCCAGAGCCGGCTCTCTTCACTTCCATTTCACCAGAGCCGGCTCTCTGCACATACTCAAGCCTTTCTGGTCCATTTTTAAGTACAGTCCAAGTTTACTTATTTTACAATCTTTTGACATTTTAACTACACACTTAAATGAACCAATTAGTCACTCAAATGTGTTTTGTAATCATCAAAATCATAAGTACAACAGATCTATCCCACCTCATTTGAATAGATAACGACTCCATCCATTTTGGCACGTCAATACTTATAATTTATAAAATTAACTAGAAATAATAACACTTCAAGAATTCAAACCATTAAAACTTCAGAATATTCAAAGATAAGATTCATCAAAATAAATAAATAAATTTTTATTAAACATTACCAATTTACTACAAGTCTATCACATGGACCATTTCAAAGAAAAAGACTTAGGACTTGTGTGAAACTCTTATAAAGTGTGAGGACTTCATTAACGATTTAAATCCACGTTGCACTGTCTTCTTCAAAATACCAAATCGCAAGTCATCACCTTTGAATTGTAGTCGTGATTAAGACTTTGCAACGTTATTGGGTTGGGCAAATTCTTCAAAATCTGTTAAACACAAATAGAAATCAAATGGCTTAGATGATGCTTGAGATTAAATTCAAGAGTTGGGATCAATTTATTTTAAAATTATTATTTTAAAATAAATTCTAAATAAAATATTTATTTAGACCC